TCTAACTGCTCTATCTCTGGAACATCTTTAGGAGCCTTGAACGTGCTGTTCTTTTGATCTCCATTCAGTCTTCCATAATTTTGCTCTTTTTCGGAATCTTTTTACTGATATGAGGAATTTGATCGAAAGCTGCAGATGGCTACCGAACATGCGAATGAGTTTATCGACAGCTCTTAAAAAAACGTTTTCATGAGAAGTGAGTGAATTGATGGATCAAACATTAACGATGATGTGCACAGTGCCCTAATTTGACTTTATCAACATTATGCGATCTCAAAACACTCAAATTAGATCAAAGAACACATTTTGCTTGCTCATAGAATATGCGTTAGCGAGCGATATCGTTTTGCGTCTATGTGGTCGTACGTTGATCACTTTTTTGATCTTTAGAGATCAGTTACTGCTGCGGAACGTTGTATCGATTCGTCGATCATCGTCGTTCATTTGTTCGTGAAAGTCGATCAGCCACCCAAGCAATGGGATTCTTCGATGTGAAGTATTTGAGCGGAAAACATCTGCAAGGATTCAGCGCCTATAAGGTTGGATATGAATTAAGATATACTTATGACAGGTTTATTGATATCGTGTTCTTCGATGGCACTATGCATACGTTATGTTGCTTCAATTGAAAATGCGGTTTGTTTCTGGATCCCTGAGTATTCAGTCTGAGGGAGGAGCGCAAATATTAGAATGATAATAATAATGATACAAATTATCGTAATGCATTCAAAATTTACAGTACAATACAATTAACACCAGCTATATCTCCTACTATATCACTTACCCAATGTGGTATTGGTTCTTGAAGGTGAGTACAATTCGAAACTGTTATTAGCTGATGATTATTCCTATTGTTTCCATTTTTATTTTTGCTATTATTACTATTGTTGTTGTTAATCTCAGTGCTTATCTTGCCATGGCTATTATTATTACTATTATAACGATTTGTGACGGGTTTGAGCACGCTCGCAGGGCAATGTTTCACTTGAAGCCGAATGTTATATCAATATTACTGTTGTTCTTGAACGTGAGCCAGGCTATGATTTGGCTTCTTTCGTATTAAATATCTAATATTTTTTAATACAAACATCGTTTCTGTTATTATTATCAATGTCGGTGTCAGTATTATCACTACTTTCTTCTCATAGTCAACATCGTCATCACTGAAACATCACATC